TACTTTTGCCAAAACTACAATGTGACCAACAGCCGTTCGCGATTAATCGAAGGCGGACGATTTTCTCGGGTGAACAAACTGAGTTCGTTGTGCTAACTCTTAGATACGGATGTGAGTCATTCGAAGACTGCAGAAGCAACGAATAACAATAAAAATAGGGCGACACAAGCACCCGGAGCTTTGAACGATCGCATCGTATGCCATACAAGTCGCGAGTTAAAAGTGTGTGCTACTTCGGTTCCCAGCATGCAGAGATTTCGCACGGCTTGCATTTGTTAACTCTAGCAAGGAAAAGGCGACAAGCTACATATAAATTAACGAAGTCATCGAATTTTGTGACGTCTTGTCCAACGGTGCAGGTTCGTTGCCTAAAGAGAGGACAAGATTAACTGTTTATTTAAACATCTACCCCGGGGGATGAACCGTGAGGCGTAAATAGAACATGACGTCATTAAATTCTGCATATTTCATTGCCTTCGCTTTGTCCAGCTTAATACCAGGAAATTGGTGTGTCTAGTGTCTAGGAGAATAATTTAGGAAAGACTACATACTAGTGGCTCACTCGTTCTCCTCCTTCCCTACTGCGTCGAGAATTATTGTGACAGAATATTATTACGATCAAAAACTGACATGAAATAACCTTGCCCAGACCTATAGAGCTTGCAGACTTACAAAATTTCCAAAGAAACGTGGATGAATAGCGCTCATGAAGCAAAGAAGGAAGAAGGTTAGATCCTCTACGCGGATCATCCCACTGAATTTATTTCCCACCCATTCCTGACACTACGTACGTCATGTAAGTTACGCGATGCAAAAAGCATGAAATACTGACCGCACATAACAGCACTTACTTATCAAGTTTGTGAAAAGCTGCACATTCTACCGCAAAGGTGTTTCTGCCTAGCTTCACGTACTCGCTCTCCTCATCTTGAAACATTACTGATTCGTAGTCTTCACCGCCAAGCTTGCCCTCAATAGCCGTCGTATTTATCAGCAGTCTTTTCAGCTCAACCATAAAGCCGCCGTAACTGGTAACAGTGTCGCAAATTCCCATGGCAGGATGAAAGTATTCGTAAAAGGGCTTTTCCTGCCTCCTCAGCTGAGCTGTGATCTTGCCGGCGTTGTCTTCAATTGGGCCCTGCAAGTCCTGGATCGGCTGATCATTCTTTTTGATGCTGACAACTTGTTCAGCGCGATGGGTAATGAGAAAGATCCAGAAGAATTTGTTCACCAAGACAGTGAACGCAAAAAGCAGGAGTAGAGGGCATAGCCATTTTTCATGGCCCATGGCTGTAGCAAAGGAAAAAAAGACTTCCAGTGAATGATTCACAGTTAGAATGAGACAAAAATAACAAAAATTGGCTTGCACCAGGTTAAGAACAAACTGGGGGGCACGAGACTTTAATAATGACGGCACTTGGTTCAGCGGTGGCGGCAAACTGGCCTAAGTCTAGCACTTACCTCCCTAACTGAGTTAGTCTCCTCAGACAACCCTAAAATCCCAGTCGACTTACACCATTTCCAAAAAATGCCCAATAATTTTTTTTCACTGCCTGCTCTTTCAATGTTTCCTTTCTACCTCACTACCCCCCCTATCATTTGGCATCGCCAATACATTGTCATGCTGGTCATAAATTAACAACTTCAGAAACTGGCTTGTTCACTGTAGGATGCTTGTGAAGCTATGTCTTTTTACATGAGAGTAGGGTCCCACCTACAAAAACATAAAGATATTCATCTATCGATCGACAGATTATAATTAAGCTAATGGTTCTGAACTCAATTTTACAGATCAAGGAGGAAAAAAGCATCCGCAGATTGTTCAACACTTCTGAACAAATCATTGCGATCAAAACTGGAAAACGAACATTGAGCTGAAGGAGAGAAACCACGAAGTAAAAGTCGGAAGGGACGTCAAAAGCGATGTAGTAGGCGTCTCCCCTAAAAACTACACTTGGCCCAGAAACTGAATGCAATGTTTTACTGTTTATTTCAGTTTCAGTTTACTTGGCGAAGGTACTAGGCAATCGCTTTGAAAACCCCATTGCATGCATGCCGGTACATCATATACATTTTATGTTCACGCTTAAAATACTATTCACAAACTGTGAGTAGCACTGTTTTTACAAATGCCACTCGTCTGGAGTTTTTGTTTTATTATTTCGAGTTCACACCCTACTTAAGTACTTGTAATTGATACAGCTATGAGCAGTTCTCATCTAATCGGTCTCAATAATATCACGGACGGTAGCTCTCCAT